AAGGTAGGGTGGGGCCAACCTTATACAACTGGGTCTTTCATTGGTATTTTATTTTTTCAATTTTATTCATCTGGATCTTTATAATAAGAAGGAAATTTGGGGACAAACATGCACAGAGAAAAGATAATATGAAGACTCATGAGAAAAGGCAATCATGTGATCACAGAGAGAGACTGGAGTGAAGTATCTCTAACCAAGGGAATGTGTAGCAAACCCCGGAGCCTAGAAAAGGCAAAGAAGCTTTAGGTGGCGTGGTCAACACTTTGATTATAGTCTCCTAGTTTTTATGAGACAATAAATTTATAATATTTTAAGATATGTAGTTTGTGGTACTTTGTCACCAAAGCCCGAGGACGTGAATTTACAGGCATGTTAACATGTAGCATGTTACAGGCAGTCTTTGCAGGCTGAGGATGGTGGTGCCTGACTGTAACCCTAGCTCTCAGAAGGATGAGACAGGAGGACTGACACAAATTTAAGGCTAGCTTGCAAATATAGTGAGTTCAAGCCTGAACTACACAGTAAGTTTTTGTTTTTTCTTCTTCTTCTTCTTCGTCGTCATCTTTTCGAGACAAGGTCTCTCTCAAAATGAGCTGGCTTTGAGCTCATTTTGAAGCCCAGGCTGGTCTTGAACTTGCAACGATCCTCCTGCTTCAGCCTCTCGAGTGCTGGGATTACAGGCATGAGCCACCACGCCTCGTGAGTTTGTTTGTTTCAAACAAAGCAAAACAAAACAAAACAAAGCACAAACAAGACAAAATAAAAGTTGTTCTTTGCAGCTGTATGCGGTGGCACATGCCTGTAATCCTGGCACTTGGGAGGCTGAGGCAGGAAAATGGCAAATTTGGGCCTAACCTGGGCAACTTAGTGACTTAGCAAGATCAAAATCAAAATTAAAATAAATAAAAAATTTAAAAAGGGCTTAGGAATGTAGCTCAAAACAAAGGCCCACAGTTCACTCCCCAGTACTGGGAAAAATAATCTTGACCTTTGTGCAAATATTTACAGGCTAAATGCCTAGAAGCATGTGTGCTGGGCCTTAAACAATGTGTCTTTTTCATTTTAGCAGCTACTCCAAATTAGCTTAGCCTGCCGAGGGTAGTGCCCCTCCCAGAAGCGTAGAACAGCATGTATTCCTGTGTCCCAGCCAACACTTGACATGTTAACAGACATGTACATTTCTTCCCATCTGACGGGTAAAATCAGAGTAGCATTTAAAAAAATGGTATTCACCAAATGTTTAGCGAGGTTGAGTTTTTAATATGCTGATTTTCCATTTGAATTTCTCCTGTAAGTTGTGTCTTTATGAACTGTCCATTCTTCTGTTGTGCTATTTATTTTATTCTTACTAGTTTGAAATGTTTCTTTATGCAGGAGATGATCTTATTCACTTTAAAGTATTCCTAGCTTAGGGAGTGCTTTTAAATATTAAGCATATTTGTTGGATTTAATTGCTTTTTCAGCATCTAACGAGATGATCAAATTACATTTATTTGACCTATTGATACGAGGCACCTGTAATTGTAAGGGCTTTGAAAAGCAGAGCAGTTAAATATTGATGGGGTAAGGGAATGTGTCAGTATGAGACTTTCAGAACATGTTTGGAGGGCTGCTTTAGAAAACAGGCTTGAGACAGGGTAGGGACTGGTAGGGGTGCCAAGGGTCGATGCTTTGTGGTTTGGGTAAGATGGGACTACTGCAGCATTTGAATAAAATCTATCTGTAGAATTTAAGATTAATAAAGTGGTGCTAGTAGAGGAAGAAGAAAATAAAAGCAAGTAGAGGACCTAGATGCAGGCAAGTGAGAGCATCGAATCCTAGCACCTAGACGTATAGGCATATAATAAAGACAGTCTTTCCCTATACTGGCACTAAGGAAGTAGAAAAGAAGAAAGGAAGATGAACAGACTTGTATAATTCCCCAGTGAGCTGCGACTTAGAAAGAAGGTTTTGTAAGGGAGGAAGGGCACCTGTGAAAGTGTAAATACTAGCATGTCACAGACATGGGGAGCTGTGTTGGCAGGGTTAGAGCTCGACTATTGGGTTACACAAAATATCCAAACTGTGCAGGGTAAATTACAATAACAGCAATGAAAATACTTTCTGTAGGGAATGATGTAATGCTGATGAATGACACAGGGGAAGCACGCTCTGTTAACTTTCATTTTGCTTCCCATTGACAATGCCAAGGAAAAGGTATTCAGACTGAAGTGGAGTGTGGGATAGCACAGTACTGTAGCCGAAGACAGTACAGAATGAGATAAGGAGCTTGTTTTAAAACAGGGAGTGGGTATGTGTGAGAAGATGGAATTCCCAATTTCCATGAGGATTTCATGAGCTGAAAAATCAGTGATCTTAATGCTACTTTGGGGCAAGATCCCAAGATGGTATAAGAAGAGGATGAGTTTTGAGCTCCCAGCAAAGGAAGTGAGGGTCATTAGGACACCATGTAGCTCAGGTGAAATCATGACTAGCCAGCTTTCTTATAGGCCCACATGACTCTTAATGGAGGGGGTGTTATCGAAAAGGAGTACCAACAATAAATTAGTATCAAAAATCAGAGAAGAGCTAGCATAAAGAAGGAATGAACAAAGGATACCTGGCATGGAGGAAAGAAGGATTCGTGATGATGATGTCAACTATGAGAGGGACAATCATACAAAAGATGAATCAGATACCATCGGTGAAGATAAAGGCAAAGAAAAGGCCAATGGGTAGAAGTTACAAAGACCCAGAAGAAGGCTCCCTAGAAGGAAGTATTGTGTAATCACCCTCCCTGTTTAATGGTGGAATGGGTTGCTTTCTGTGAGAGTGGATTTCACATCTCTTCAAGTGGGCAAGCTGCTGCCAGTCATGCTCTTTTGGAAAAATCATCTATGCATCCTGCAGATGCTCTGGGCAAATGTTCAAGTGTTTGGTTCCAAAGTCTCCTCTGAGTTTGAGATTTTACGCCACTAGGAGGATGTTGGTGTGAATGGGAAGGAACAGCTTGGAGATGCAACGTGGTGATGCTGTACCTAGCAGGGTGGAAAAAAGATGGGAGAGTCCTAGCGCACTCTGTAAAAGATTGTCATGGCCTCCCAAAGCCTAGGGGAAGACTTCACTACCTTCTGAGCCCCACGGGGCAGGTCTATCCCCCTACATAGGAAAGGACTGCACCTCAAAAGAACCCTCAAATCAACATCTTTCACAGGATTTTTGGGATCTCAAGTACAAAAAAATTCAAAATGGAATGTTAATGATGTTCAGAGAGGAGGAGGGCTGTGTCTCACATAGGTGCCTCTTCCATGCCGGGCCTGCGACACGGGACTGCAAAGGACCATGGGGACGTTGGGAAGGCACATTGCTGGAAGCAGGCCTAGGACAGGGCCTGGGGGAAGAAGTTCAAGAGCAAGAGCGAGTGGAATAAGGGAGAGGAGGAAGGGTGAGGGCGAAGGAGCAGGTGCACTGTTGGGAGTGGGCCCTGCTTGCGCTGCCAAAGGCCCAGGAGCTGGTTCTAAGGAGAGGGGAGAGCAGGGACTAGGAGACCAGAACGCTGGGGGTGCCCTTGCGGGTGGCATCTCACCACGCTACTTCTTGTTATCACACGCAGGTGCCCTGATAGCCTAAAAGTGCTCTAGGCCTTAAACGAAAAATAGTTCCTGAAATTCAAAGACGTGTGCGTGGTTCGAAGTGTTTGCACCTGTTTCCGTTTTCCAGGGCGGGAGGGGGAGACTTGGTAAGAAGAGGTAGACAGGAAGGTGAGAAGTGAGACTGTAGCCGCCAAGCGTGGCTGGCTGAGACATTTTAGGAAGCCCGAGTTGGGATCTGGCCCGGGGTAGGTGTCCACATCCTCTGGACCAGCCAGGCACCTGAGGCCTGTGCGGTCACTGCTGTCTCTTTATCAGTGGATCCCTCGGCAGAATCCAGGGATGGAAAGAGAGGCGCGCCCCTCCCCCACTAGATGGCACTGAAACGCCTTGTTCGAATTTTCAGAATGCAGAAAGAAGGGGAGGTGGACAAAAAAGAACAAGGTAGAGGTGTGGTCCGGCGGTGCAACGGCTGGTGCCTGGCACTTTCTGTCTCCAGGGCAGCTCTTCACCGGGCAGTGGAAACCCCAACTCTGGAAAAAAGGCCGACAAAGCAGGGTGGAGGAGGGAGGCTCCCGCCTTTGCAGGGCTGCCTCACGTGAGGAGGCAGGGAGGGGGTGGGGGCCCGCAGCGGGCTCGCCGGTGGCCCCCTCGCACCAGGTCTGGGGGTCCTTCAGAGCCGAAATCCAGCCGCCTCCTATGTAGAATGACAGATCTGTGCCGCGGATGGCTTTGATCCAATCGCCCCTCCCCCAAATGCAAGCCCCCAACGTTTCAAAACATCTAACCGTCCTTAATCCCCCATCAAAATTCTCTACTTGCGGTCCTGAAAGGATCGGCCCAGTTTCTTATTTCTTTTCCTTGTGTGGAGTAGGGGAAGGAAGAAGGGGTCGAGGTTGGCTCTGGACTGGGGCTCGTGGTGAACCCCGCGGTCGCTCCTTGCTTAGCCCCGGGCGGAAAAGCTTATAGCAAGCAAGGCAGCGTCTGTGGCTTTGCGGTGTGTGTGTGTGTGTGTGTGTGTGTGTGTGTGTGTGTGTGTGTAAATCAAATGCACCCCAGGACACCAGCAACGGAAACCAGGGGTCGCTCAGGTCCTGAAAGAGCCCACTTTCTATCAGCAGTTTTTTCTTTAAATCATTGTGGTGGCTTGGAGGGAGCTTTTCACGGCTCAGAGGAAACAGGTGTAGGCACCATCCCTTAAAGTATAAGAATACATATAAACACGCTACATGCCACATACATGTATATGTGCATAAATATGGATGTGGTTGGGCACATATCTTACCTAGACACCATTGACTTGCCTGGTCAGAGAATTAGGCTGAGACATTTTGTGCCTGGGAAATAGTGCAGTTTATCTTTAAGAAGGCTAGAAAAATAAGAGATGAGGCTCACGTTGCACGGATGACATCACTAGCTTTTGGCCGCGCGCTCCGTGTTCTCGTCGGTGGGTTTTAGCCAAGGCTGCAGCGCCGGGCGCCCGAGCGAGCGAGCGAGCGCAGCAGCGGCTTCCCCAGCGCCTGCACCCGGGCGAGGTGACTTCTCCAGCTCCCGGGGCGCAGCCTGGGCTCCCGCCCCTCCCAGGCACCCGCAGAGCCCGCGAGGCCTCGGAGCCGCTGCGCCTGGAGGAGGAGGCCGGGAGGGAAACCGAGCCACCCAGCTCCCTCCCCCACCCTCGCTCCATTCACCTCGGTGACTGTCGCTTACTGGGAGCCTGATTGCCCGACTCAGAGGCCGGGACCGGATTCACTGCGCGCTGCTGCCCAGGGAGCCGGCGTCTCGGCACCCGGGTGAGCCGCAAGGAAAATGGTGCAATCGCAGAGAGGCTGACTCCGGCTGGGCAGAGCAGACCCAGCGCTAGAGTGCTGGGCTCAGGAGAAGGGGACGGGTTGTTGGAACAGCCAGGACCGGGCTTTCCTCCCTGCCCGCAGCGTTTTCTTTGCACCTGGACTGTATGCTCCCAGCCTGCAGGGAGCCACATGAAGTGAGGCAGAAGCGGGTTTGGAGGTGGCCGGGTGGACACTCCAGGAAGGCGCCCGAGAGCACGGCGTTTCGCCAGGAGGACCAGCCGGCAGCGCTTGGCGACTGCGCGCCCTGTCCATGGTGTTGAAGGCGCCCCGCGCCGCGCGCCCTGCCTGGTGCGCCCTCCTCTGCGCAGCCCGCCCCTCGCGCCGGTCTGTGGTCGCCCATTCTCCGCCAACCCCAGGCCAGAACTCGTCCCGTAGCGCTGCCTGGGTGTTCGCGCCGTCCGCCTGAATGGCGAGGTCGGAGGCCGGCAGCCGGCGAGCTCGCGGGGAACGGTGGGCAGAGACCGCGCGTCCGCGGGAAGCCCGCCGCTGAGTCCCGCGTGGGCCGGCCAGGGACCTGCTGGGAACCCGAGGACGGAAATCTCGCAAAGAGCCGACCTAGGAAGGAAGCTCGCTGCTGGGTGCACATCTTGGGTCTCCGCTTGCAGACCGGAAAGGGAGAGACCTTACAGGTAGATCCAGGCGGGACTCGGGAGTCTGGCGCTGGCACCCAGCGGTCTCCTTTCGCCGGCGGGCGGTGTCGCGGGTGTAGGCAGGCGGCTGCCCCTGATCGCACCGCCCCATCCCCTAAATTCCCGGTCTCTTCGCTGCACAAAAAATCCGCAGAGAGCTCCACCGCACGGAGGGGGCTCGGGCTTCGGTTTCCGGAGCAGGGGTGCGTCCAGAGGCCGCGGGTTCTGAGCAGTCGCCCCCTGTGGGGCGGGGAGAGGGCGGGAAGTCGCCGCGTGGAATCAGCCACGGCCAACGGCTACGCCTGCTTCGGAGGATGAACGGGAGTCGGATCAGAACTTTTTAGGCCGCTCGCCGCCATCCCCGCAGTCCCCCGGCCGAGTCCCCCGCTGTCGCTGTCCCCACCCCCAGCTCGGCGCCGCCGTTTGGTCCCGGGCGGGCGCGCGGAGGAAGGCGAGGCCGCGGCGGGTCATGCCCAAGGTGTAGGCGAGGCGGAGGCATGGCTGCCGGAAGGTTGCTGCTCTACACGGGCCTCTCGCTAGCGCTCTGCGCCCTCGGCATGCTGGCTGTGGCCATCTGCTCGGACCACTGGTACGAGACGGACGCCAGGAAGCACAGGGACAGGTGCAAGGCCTTCAACACCCGCCGGGTGGACCCCGGCTTCATTTACAACAACAACAACAACTTGCCGCTCCGGGCCAGCCGCTCGCGCCTGGACCGCTGGGAGGGCAAACTCCTCCGGGCCCGGAATCGCCGGCAGCTCTTCGCCATGAGCCCGGCCGACGAGTGCAGCCGGCAGTACAACTCCACCAACATGGGCCTCTGGAGGAAATGCCACCGGCAGGGCTTCGACCCCGAGATCGCCGCCCTCATTCGGAAAGGTAAGCGCGAGGCGTGGCGCTGCAGAGAGCCGGCCGCCTCTGGTAGGCCCCGCAGCACCTCGGCTCCCCTCCCCCTGGCTGTCCCAAATCCCGGCTTCAGGTGGTGCAGTTTTCCTGGCTGAGCCTCCCCACGCTGCTGATGGAGTGTGCTGGAGGCTCTACCTTCTCTCTGCAGACTCTGGTCTTGCTCCTGTCTTTCCAGATTCGCCTGGAATCTCCTGGTACAGGGTTCTTATCCAGGATAATGTCTCATCAGCCTCAGAGAAGGAAGGGAATCCACAATATAAGGCTGTGTGCCCTTTAGGAGTGACCTGTCGGTTCCAAATTTTAATTTTGTTTTAGATGTCCAACTGATCCGATTAAGGGAACTAAAAGGCACTTCTCCGAGAGAAGGCCTTGTTCATAGCAGAAGCATCTGCTGAGTGCTGTGCTATCCGGGGCGTGCTGAAGGCATCGGTCATATAAACACCAATGCATCACCGCCCCTGCTCTAAGCAGCTTCAAGCCTGTTGGTAGCATAACACTGCCGTTCTTTATTCCTCCTTGGAAAAAGTGGTCACAAAAGGGATCTCAGTTGAATTATCCGCAGGGTCTACTAAATACAATGAAAGTAGCACCAAAGTGGGCATTTCAGAGACAAAAATTACAGTTTTTAGATGGTTTATATGAAAAACCCTAAAAGTATACCAAAACAGAAAAAAAGCTGAGTTTACAAAACACAAAAATGTATTTGATACTTTCACAAATCTTACAAATTTTCATAAAGATTTCATAAATTTTCATAAAGATTTCATAAATCTTAAATTCCTCTTCAATTTGTAAATCTTGCATAATTTATATGTCGGCAACTTTCCTGTTCTCTCAACTCGCTGAAACATTGTTTGGATGTGATGTGTGTTAATACTGGAAAAAAGAAATATGTTCTCTTCCATGGTAGCTGCACCCTGGGAAGGTGTGCAGATGTTATGAGTCTCACCTTCTCTCTTTCTTTTCAATTATTAAATGGTGAAATCAAGTGACAATGATGTTATTATTTGCAAAATGCTTTGAGGCTGAGACATAAAGCAGTTCTTATTGTTTCTTATTGTACTGCGATGAGGTTTGCTGATGTTTTAAAATAACACTTGCGAGAACTGAGGCTCTTTGATTTATAAAAGTGTAGGGTTGATCAGAAAGAAAATTAATTTGAAAAAAGTCACTTATTTAAGAATGACAAGCAGTCCTATGGTTGCGGAGGCTAGTTTGCTTTTAGATGGTAGGCAGGTCCAGGGAGAGAATCCATCTTGGTGTTTGTTTTGTAGCTTCTTTAGGATGACTAGAGATCTCAGTTGAATTAGTTATGGGTGTGTTCATGCTGCAAACATCCTATCTGCTTTAGGGTGACCTATTTGGAGCTCTATAACTTTATAAAGATATGCAGGATATTGGGGGGACTCTAGCAGAGGGCAACTTAGGGTTAGATTGAGAAGCAGGAAAACAAGAGGAAATAGGAGTCATTTTTGACATTGGCTGACTTCATAGCAGGTTGCAGTTCCATAAAGTGTTGCTTTAACCATCCTTTTCTGCTTTTTAAAATTGGAAATGACAGGAAATTAGCTGAAAAGTAGGGGAGAATTCACATTAGTAATTACTGGCAAACACTGGCTGGATTTTCTGAAGGACATTCTTGAATTTCCTTCCTTGATCACCTTCTAGAACAAGACAGGCATCCTGTCTGGGATTGGTTAACCCCACTGAGAGAAAGGGAATGGAATTCATGGGTCTGGTGGCTTCATCCAGGGCTCTGATTTTGTTACTCTGCTTGGCAACCTGACTAGAAGGGTTGACTTGGTGTGTGCACCAAAGGGACTGGTTACCATAGTGACATGTTCTTCCGGCAAGGCTGGAAACAGTGACAGGGAAAGGGATAGGGGAAGAATGTACAACATTTTGACTTTGTATCGACTAATTTTTAATTGCAGCAACAGAAAATGGGCATGCACAGCAGGGGGATTGAATACACTGATACTTCAAGTTGGCAGGGCATTGTATTTCACTTGAACTAATGGAAATGCTGTTCTTCATCACCCCAAATACAGCAATCACTGTCAGCTGCAAGCACCCGCTTACCATGGCTGTATCTGTCCACTTGACATTCTTGTTAGGTATTATTGAGATAGATGGCATGCCAGCTGTACAAATCTTGAGACTTAAGGTCACTATCTCCATTTTTAACCTCAAAACATAATCTTCAAAAACCATATCTCCCTTTCCCAAGTAGCAATGTGCACATTTTGGCAATAAGCACATCTTATATTAATAGAATTCTCAGGCAATTCCAATAATATATAGAACATAATTTCTGTATTTAATTAGTGTTCCTCCAAGCAGATTTTATGTGGAAGTTAAAAAAAGAAATTGATATTTCTATACTTAAATTTAGGATATCATATGGAAAGATATTTGTCTTACATTATTCATAAGCCTCAAAAATATTTTAGACCCTGTCTCTTTGAAACATTACCTTCTATTAAAATTCTGGAAAGCGAGGACTGGTGGTGCATGCCTGTAATCTCAGCACTCTGAGAGGTCAAGGCAGGAGGATAGCAGGTTTGGGCCCAGCTGGAGCAATCTAGTGACTTTGCAAGACTCTATCTCAAAATGAAAATAAAAAATAATAAAAATGGGGCTGAGGATGTGCAAAGACCTTGGGTTCAAACTCTGGCACAAAAGCAAGCAAACAAGAAAGAAGGAAAGAAGTGTTTTAGGCCAGGAGTGAGGAAAACCAGACAAAAGATTCTTTAAAATCTATCAATGTCATTGGAGAATGAGAGATTTATCTAAATGATCCAATAGCCCTAAGGAACTCAATCATTTGTCAAATCAACGTTCGTTACATTAGAAAGTGCTCTTTGTGCATTTAAAAATAAAACTATTAAGTTAATAATAAAAGTCAAATCTATATCTGATTTGAAGAATAAATCTTTTGGATTCATATTCTTTCTGAAATTCATTTTATTCAATACTCTGCTGTATTCCCAAGTATTTCTGGTCATGGTGTATTTATTTGTTTGCATGACTGAACTGTAAGTTCCTGGAGGGCAGGAAAGACAAACACTTATAAAATTCACTCACCAGATACCTCATACTTCAGAAATATAAAAGTGAAGTTTAAAGAAATTTATCCTCAAGAGCTAATTCTAATGATAGGAATACATGTGTGGAGTCCAGATAAAAAGATTAGTTGGAAAATCATGATTTTAAAAAAATGAGTGAGCGTGGTGATCAGGTCAGGTTAGTATTTCAACAGATACTAAAGACTAGGAAGGAAGGAAGGATGGAACAAAGGGAAGAAGGAAGGTTTCTTTCCTTCTTTTTTTCTTTTTCTTTTTGTGTGTGTATATGTGTGTTTAAAGGCTCCAAACTACTCTCAGCTGGTCTACACGATATTTCTGCCCCCAACCCATTTTATTTAAAGGAGAAAAAGGAAAAAAAAAAAAAGGAAGAAAGAAACTAAAAATTTCAAAACACTTCAATCAGGGGACAACAATGGTACATACATTGTGCATTGTCATCCCCAAATCATTCACCCAGAGCGCAAGACATCTGCATTCAATTGTCTGAACAATACCAGCACAAATCCTTCTCTTCAGTAAACTCTGAGAAATCAGTAGTATAACTATCTTAACTAATTTTTAAAATATACAAACACATATATATACACATATGTTGTTTCTTTCAGTGTCTCACACTAATGAGACAATACCGTATTTACACATGCGTGTCTTTTTTATTTCGCTTAGGAGTATGGTCTCAAGTTGCATCCATTTATCTATAAAAGCCTCCAGTTTATCAGAAGGAAGGTTTCTTGGGCAAAAGCTTTTTCAAAGAATAAGGGGAACACACAGTTGTTTTTGGGTAACATGTCACTGAACAGACTCACATCACTCAGTGTCATTATTTTTCATGTTAGATAAGATTTTATTTTCTTCTTGAAGGCAGGATTGGGTAGGGGATAACGCAAAGAGAGATTACTCTAAATTCCCATGTGACTCTTCCATGAAGAGTTTTAAATCAGGTCTTCTTATCTTCTTGCCTCTCAACCTCATCTCTGACTCCCTGAAAAGTCCTGTGGGTCTGGGGACAGATTACTGACAGGATTCCTTTTCTAAAATCCAAGACTTCTAGGTACTTCAGAAGAGTAGCTCTAGATGAGATTTTGCTCCAGGGAACATTTATATTCTTTGACTTGCACTGAACTTATATTAATAAGCTTTGAGATAAAAAGACCCTCAACTAATAACCTAATAATTTTTTATTACTTGAAAATTTGCCTTTATAATTGACATCGGCCCGAAGTATTTCCATAATCATAGGGCGGTCGTCAATACTCTGCAAGCTATTTTAACATTTTGCATGTTTAAAAATCAATAATGTAAACTGCACATGTATAATGTGATGGATGGGCGTCCATCAATAGGGTGAAGCAATGGAGAAGACCTAGCTTTCTAAATTCTTGTAGAATTAGTGTCAAGAGAATGAATTACAGAGATAATAAAGCTTGCACCAGAAACAGGCAAGAGGTAGACTGTGTCAGCCTTGGAGTAAAATTAGGGAATTAGGGAAGCTTGTCTGGTGGAAGTAAAATCTGAGCAAGATTTTGATGAGGTTTGGAGGTGGGTGGGGAGAGAGGTTATTTCCGGAAAAGGGACTAGAATTGGATCTTTGCCGGTGAAAAAGAAGCGCTAGAGAGAAGATGCACTAAATCTACAGCTGTGCTGACCAACAGATCACACTAGCCGTATATGGCTGCTTCAACTTAAAATAGTCAAAATTAAATAAAATCCAGAAATTAATTTTGTTAGCTACATTAGCCACATTACAGGTATTTAATAGGCATATGTGGCTATTCATTGGTTGTTCGATTAGACAGCACAGATTACAGCGATTTCCCATAGTTTGAGAAAGGTTTTTTGGGTGACACTACAGCAAGCCGACTGCCTTGAAGGGGAACAAGCACA